GCACGAACCCGCGTCCCCTGCACCGGCAGGCGGACTCCCAACCACTGCGCCACCAGGGAAGCCCTACAAACACTTTTAATGAAGATGTTACAGTGTTGATACTTTATTTTTTTTGAAAATAATTTTTATCTCTTTTCATATGAAACTTGTCTACGGCATAGTCTGTCCCTATCCCTGGGCTGGTTCCACAAATTACTGGAAATTTATTTGCATGATCCTGGGAGTGGCTAGTAGAGTGTGCTGTGAATATGGAATTGGTATGGTTGGATGCACTGGGGTTTGCAGAAGCCACACCGAGACTATACACACAGATCCTCAGCCTGGAAGAAATCAAGTTTCAGTTTGATGAATTTGCTCTGGGCCATCTCCAGGACACTTTACGTACCTTATGTACCGTTCCTCAGACGCTGTGGCAATGCAAATAACATCTTCTGTATCGATCCTAAAATAGCTGGAGATACTGCAGTTCCTTCTTGGAGGCCCTGATGGCAAGTGGAGGCAGGGTGCCAAGTCCATCAGCTGCATCTAGCTGCACCAATCTGGGCATGTGCCATGGCGCGTTGTCACTCAGCCCATGCCTGGACTGGAGAGAATCTTCTTCATTCTAGGTCTGAACAATCCTTTCTGGAATCAGTGGGACTAAACCACAGTAGCCAGCAACTTCCCTGAGCTCTCTTCCACCATCACAGAATCTTGGGAAGGCCAGATTCCAGCCCAGGCTGATGCTTGAGTGAGGGCTTGGTGCCTCCATTCTAGTCCCTGGAAGGCTTTGACCCCTGGATCCTTCTTCTGGCAGAGGTCATTGGTCACCCTTCAGTATGAGGTTGGGTATGTCTGTATTGAGGCTTGTCCTACCTGCCAAACTCAACCCATTTTGGAGAGGTAGGGAAAGAAATGGGTAAAAGACAACAGGTTAATAGAACTGAACATTTTCTTGCCTTTCTGATCAGCCCAGCATGCACTACCTGGGGTGGGTCAGTCAGCTTCCTGTGTAAGTGTTACAGGCCACCTCCTGCTATACCTCCCTCACATTTATACACATTCATGTTCACTCTCACATACACTCACTCACCTGTATGCACCACACACACACACACACACACACACACACACACACACACTCCCACCAGCCAAATGGACAAACCACCCAAGGGAATCATGCACTTTCCTCAACTTAATAGATGCTCTTTCCCAACTATCCCCTCCCAGCCCCCAAGAAAGATGTCATTTACAGAAATCAAGATCCAACTCTTCACCCTAAAATCAAGGACAGGAAGGATCTGGCTACCTTTCACAGGTAACTATGATCTTTTTCATGACAAATTACAGGGTGTCAAAGAGCCTTCTAAACTCTGGTTCACACCACTATAGACAGATAGCACAGATGAGTCCCTGTACTGGGCTTCCCCTCTGCCACCGAGAGCACACCTACAAGCTCCTCAGCTGCTGTCTGTAACCCGTACTGGACGCCCCACTGCTCCTGGCGCCACCCAACTGGAAACCATTGGTCTCAGTCTCACTTGGATACTTGAACATAGAGCCTCGTCCAGTTCCTGCAACCAGCACTCTCCTAGGTAGGTGTCCTTCAACCAGATTATACAAGACGCAGAGTTTGAAGAGTATATTCATCTTTTGAAGCTCAGGTCTTCCGTCCAGGACAACCTAGAAGAAACTTACAATGGGGAGTTAGCAAATCCTTGACCACACCCAGCAAGGACTGATGTCATCGTAAAGAAGAAAAACTGGGAGCTCCAGCTAAAACAGGACAGCCCTGAATGGGGCTGGGTCCACCAAGACAGGAGACATCAGTCTGGAAGGGAAACTAGGATATAACTAGGTTGCATATTCATACAAATCCCATGTAAGTACTTTTAGCCCTCAAACCCCTGCCTCTATTTTTTCTCACCAGGCCCAGACCCTGTATGGTGGCCCTATCAAGGTGGTCACAGTAAGAGACTCACTTCCAATCATTTTCAATTCATGAAGTCAATTTGGAGGAACCAGTCCATCCATTAAGCTGGACATTCTGAGGACAAACAGTTCAGATGTGGGCCTGTGGGCCAGCAGAGAAGGCCTTCTGGACGTGCGGGGATCAGTCCAGGTCTTCGGTGATACTCTGAGGCCTGAACCACACCAGGTGGGTTCTGAGGACTCACAGGTGTAGTCCTCCAAGGCCTCCTGGTCAGGGGCAAAGCCCTACTTGACTGATGTTCTGACCCACAGTTATTTCCTGGACCCTGTCTTTACACTACGTGTGGGCCAGTGTCCCCTCCCCCAAAATGTATATGCAAAATACTTAAGGTTGACTTGACCGGGTTTCTGCACTCAAGGGGCAAAACTCTTATACATCAGGAATGATACTTCTCTGGTTGCCATAGGTATTCAAAAACTCACTTTTGGGCTTCCCTGGTGGCGCAGTGGTTGAGAGTCCACCTGCTGATGCAGGGGACAAGGGTTCGTGCCCCGGTCCGGGAAGATCCCACATGCCGTGGAGTGGCTGGGCCTGTGAGCTATGGCCGCTGAGCCTGCGCGTCCGGAGCCTGTGCTCCGCAAAGGGAGAGGCAAAAAAAGAGAAAGACCTCCGAACAAAAAAAAAAAAAAAAAAAAAAAAAACTCACTTTTTCATTACCATCCTGTCAACAGACTTCCTCAGAATAAAAGGAATATTCTTTGGACCCCCAAATTAGCAAAAACTCCTCCCCAAATCACGATCTTATCTGCCCTCATCCAAGCCTATTCTAACTCAGCCCACCCATGTCCGCCTGGCTTGGAAGCCTCCCAAACATATATATGGGGCCACCATGTTGCTAGAAAACTTTTGCTCTGTTGCCAATTTTTCAAAGAACCTAGTTCTGTGAGAAACCAACTCCCAGGACACAGATAACATTAAAAGAGGTTTTAAGGCTTGGAGAGATGAACTTAACAGAATCTGACATACTGGGCCTCAAAGGCTAACGACAGCGTCTGGAAACAGCTCTCAGAGACAGGGAAACTCAGCCCTGGCCACTTAGAGTGGGCACTTAGCTTTCAAAGATGGGGTTTTCAAACAGCTAGCCTAGGCAACCTCTCAGCTAAACCTTTATCATATGAGCCCAAATAACAGGAGCTGGCAGAGGCCAGCCTAACTCAAGGAAGGTCCTCCATTCTAAATAAATTATAGCTTAGTACTCCTAGAACCTCCAGCATGACCAGATGCCAGCAACAGGCCAGTGTTGCATTCAGTAGCCCCTGGACAAGGTCCTGTACCATTGGGTAGGGACTTCCAGAGGACAGAGGACGGGGGAGGCTTGCTCTGCCATTATGACCCCTTCAGCATGTTCCCTGGGGAAGGGCCAGCACACAGGCCTGTACTTCTGCCAGGACAGAAACCCAGACACATCCAGATGTGAGGTTTCTGGCAGAATATACTCAGGTCCAGGCAAGGGCCAAGAAGACTCTAAAGGCTCCCTATTCACCTTGGATGCCAGAGGCCCCTGAAAAACTGGACTCTGTAATGGTTGTGGCCTCTCGAATTGCTGGTGTTATGGATGATGTCACCAAGACAATGCACATGATCTCCTGGACCAGAGCCCATTTCCAGCCATCACAGCCCTATTGGTCAAGGTTAGATTCTAATCCACTGACTACCTAGTGGCCTGAGTTTGCACCCCAGTTCTGGAAGCACAGTTCAAAGCCCAATGAGTGTCAATCCACCTCTCTGTCCCCTCGTTTTATTCAAATAATAAGTGAGCCAGAGCCCAGAGAGGTCCTACCATTGCTATACACAGAGGTGATTTTTAGCCAGAATCCATTCTGCTTAGTATATACTTGTAGAAATAGTGTAGTTCTGGTGAATAAACATATTTAATATGACTCCTGGCTGCGTGTCATATAGTCAGCATGACCCATTCCCTCATCCTGCCTCTAATGAGCTTTCTAACTTTGTCAATTTTTTATGACCCAGGACACAATTTTGTACAGTAAGTACAGATTCTTAAGCGTCTTAAAATGGCTCCTCAGTCCCAGGCACTGTGCTAGGCCTGGGGGCAGCACAGAGAATACCCAAGGGCCCTGAGGATTCTCACGAGCTTCCTGGCTATCATTGTCCCCTAGGACCTCGCCCCAGACATGCTTGCTTCACCAAGGGGAATCATATCTGATACATTAGAAAAAAAAAAACAAAAAAAAACCCACCACGGATGTCTAGATCTCTCAGGCTACAAGAAAGACAATTCCAGAATGGAGACATCATCTGGTCTCCTCGCCCTTCTCAGCATCATGCCCTTGCTGAAATCTGGAAGGCCTCTTTCTGATTCAACTTCCTGTGAAGTTGCAGAGGTGGTGAATCCTGTCACATGCTGCCATCAGAGACCCCTGAGGGTACATATTCTGCCCAGTGGAGCCTTCCCTGCCTGCCCTCGCTCCCCTCCAGGAAGAGGAATCAGACGGGGTCAGGGTTGGCTAAAGGCCTGTACACCATTTACTTCCTGGCCAGTCTTTCCCCTGGACTTTCCCTCTTTGGGATCTCCCCTCCTCCCAGCTTTTAGGGCTGCCTCTGGCATTTCTGACTTTCAGATTCACCCTTCGCTTCATAATGGTCAGTCCGACAGCTGCCCCGTGAGCAGTACCTGCTGCGGTCCAGCTCTGCCTCAGCCTGCGCCCTGCCCGGCACCTGTCCAGCTGATGTTAAAGACATCCCTGGGTGTGTTTACCCCCAGCTCATCTCAGAAGTATCTCAGACTGATTCCTTGCTGTCCCATTCAACATAGGATGTGAGAGCTTCCTTCCGTAACTCCAACACTACCTGAGGCAACTAGGGCCATGCTGTCCTTCTCTGTTTACTCATGTCCTGAGATGTCGAAAGGGTGGTTGTCCTCAGGAGGGCTGAACAGAGTATCAGGGCACAGTTGGTTGTTATTCCAGCCGGGCAGTCGGGGGCAACGTGCCGGCTGCCATCAAAGGGAGGTCCTCACTGGAGCTGTGACAGAAAAAACTCACCTGATAATTAAGAAGATGATTTATTCAGGTGATTGCAATAAGGAGAACATCCACTGATGAGGAACATCTCAAAGAAAAGGAAGGGGACCAGGGGTTTTATAGAGGCAGGTAAACAAGGGAGTCATCTTGGAATCTTACAGGAGTCATGAGAAAGGATGGAGTTGAGACTTCCCTTGGAAACTCTGAGGGCAGTGTGGTCCTTTGTGGTTAGCTGGTTTGTCATTTCCAAGGCACAAAGGGGTAGGGGGGATTTCTTAACCATCACTGCTGAAGTTGCACAGAGCTCAGATAACGCTCAGTAATGTCAGTCCCGCCTCCCCGTTCCAGATGACTATCTTTTGTCACTGAACAACTCAGAGGCAAGCATAAATCTCCCGAGTGGCATGAAGCAGGGCCTAAGAAACAGTCTCTCCAGCATTCTTGCTGGTGTTGTTCTTCTAAAACTGGTGGCGCATCTGTTGAGAGGTGGGGCAGAGGTCAGTTGTTTTATGGTCCTGGAGATCAGATATCTTAAAAGAGGGATGCCTAAAATAGAGACATAATAGTATAAGAATTGTATTAAGGTAAAGAGCCAGGAGTTGAACCTTGAGAATTCACCAGTCCAGGGGATTCTAGAGGAAGAAAATCTTGCAGCACCACTCCTTGAGTTTCTCAAAGCTAAGATGGCCATACTCTTGGTGATGTTGTGCATAGTCTTGGCTACCTTTCATTCACGGGCACGTGTGATCCAAGTATTTTGTTGGACTTCCTTAGTGGTCCAGCAGCAGTTTTTCCAGGGAGAATTCCAGCCTGTGCATGGTCTGCTGTGGAGCTGGGTCCTTAAAGGTTGCTGCCAAGTCACTAGGCTACAGCTTGCAGAGCTTCTTCAGATTTTGGGGGGAAAGGCCAGCTGCAAGGCAACCTGAAGTGCTGATAGGGATCCAGGTAGCCAAGTTTTAGTTCTTGGTAATGCTGAGTCAGGCAGGAGGGAGAAAAATTTGAAAAGTTAGTTTGGAAGATTGTAGTCAGATATTGAAGAAAACTGAAAGAATTGAAAATGTGGTAAGGATCGACAATTTCGACAAGGCAACAGATCCAGTCCAACTTAAAGGAAGGTACCAAAACTGGTTTTTCCATGAGGGGTGGGGGAAGGAGGTCAGTGAAATCTCATCAGACAAGACAGAGTTTGCACAGCCATCAGCTACCTGCAATGTACAAAGAATCGCTAAAAAGAAAAAAAACCTCAAAGGCAACGAACAGGGTGAGAGTCTGATAACCTGGAAGGGTGTGCTATAATTGAAACACAAATTTTCCCTTTTTTGATACCCCTCTTTTGACAAAGATAACCTCAAAGAAAGATTTTTCTTGATCACAAAATAAGGCTGGTTTCAGTAGATTTGGCCTATTTACATAGGTACCTCCAGAATGGCGATCTTCCACATAGGCCTGCTTAAGTTCGTTTGCTGGAAGTTCTAATAAGGTACCTCAGATTGGACTGTTGAAAGCCTCTTCAGGCTAGGAAGCCAAGCCAAGGATTTGCCATCAAATTCACCTGCAGTACTCATAAATTTGAGCAAATTCCTCTCTTCTCAAGGTTGCCCAATTATCCTAAGGCTCATGGGCCTGCCAGGAAGTGACCTTCCTTACTCACCTGTAAGGCTGGGAACTCGGTGAACAAGTACCAGGTCAGTTTTCTCAAGAAGGCTTTGTAACCATTGGCTCCATAAAATCAACCTTAGTTCTTTAAAAGTGTCAGGTCGTTTCTGATCAAATGAACATCATTCTCAAATATGATATTCCAGGCAAAGCCTTGGGTTCATAACCAGTGCTTCCAATTTTGTCCTGTTAACAAGGAAGACAGATTCTTATTGAACCTGTGCAAATAATTATATTGCCATGAAATTAAGAATACTCACAAGACTTTCTGAATTTTGGAACCATCAAGGAGGGAGCATAAGATATTTACACATGGTTTGTTTCTGGTTAGCAAAGCATAGTCTACTGAATTATTATGAGTTATAGATAGCTTTAGAGAAAAGAGAATGGAGTTCCTTATATACCTAGAAAACAGAACATTAAAACAACATCAACAATATTCCAAACAAAACCCACCACCACCCCTCATTCATTCATTCAGTCCTAGGTAACGAATTCTTGTTCCCCTGGATTTTGGTTTTGTATTCTCATGAATTCATCTGTGTCTCAGCTAGAATTCTAGAAATCCTGACTCAGCCCACTGGTATGGTCTCACAGTTGTCTAAAAAAGGCCATCAGAAGCCTGTACCCCAAAGTGCCTAGCACAGTCCTTTTCCACAGGACTCTGAGACAGCCCTTCTTTGTCAAAGACAAGCACTCTAGTCTATAGCTGATTGTAAGTGCTTTCAGGGAAGCATCAGAGAAACCCAAAAAACTATCTTTAGATGACAAAATAAGATGGCTGTGGTTAACCTGTTACTGACATTTTCAAAAGTGAAAGATCGGCTGGGAGTTCATAACAAGAATAATACAACTGACAAGGAAATTTGGTTGTTTCTACAGCATAGAAACCAAAATAAAAAAGTCAATCCAGAAAATGTTTTAGGCAAAATATCTGTTAACATAACGAGTAACTCTATTTTCAAAGAAGAGTAGATATTATATCCAATTTATAAAAATGGAGGAACATAATCTTCAGAGGAAAAATATCTTCAGATATAACATATAGTAATCCTGACATAATATACACTAAGAATATATAAAGAATACCAAGTAAAGAGACTCTGTAAATCTGGAATTGGTCCTAAACCTCTGCATATTAATATAAGTCCATAGTAAAGGATATTAGTTTCCAGTTGAAAACTGCCACTGTAGTAGTTAAATTCAAATTAAAGAAGCTATGGCTGAGTTACCATTTTAAGAAATAGCTAAATTATGACTGACAACACCTCCTGTGGTTGTCTACAGTTGGTCCTGTGTCCATGGGTTCTACATCTGTGGATTCCAGCAACCGAGAACAGAAAATATTCTGGAAAAAAAAAATTCCAGAAAGTTCCAAAAAAGCAAACCTTGAACTTGCAGCACACGGGCAAATATTTAAATAGCATTTACATTGTATTTGCATAACATTTACATTGTGTTAGGTATTATAAGTAATCTAAGGAATACGGGAGGATGTGAGTAGGTTATATGCAAATACTTTGCAATTTTCTATAAGACTTGAGTATCCACAGATTTTGGTATCTGTGGGAGATCCTAGAACCAAATCCTTGTGGATACTGAGGGATGACTGTACGATCAGGTACAGCAGCACCAAGAAACAACAGGGCCAATGAGAGCATTGACAACGCTCTAGGAATTTTCCCCAGAGCATATAGTTCCTGAAATCCGAATTTAATTACAATTTACCAAACTGATTTATTACCCTGGGACATGCTACGCAGCATCTCTTCTGATTTAACAACTCTTCCTATGCAACTCATCAGTAGTAACCATCAAATAAACCCAATTATTTCCTGCCTTTTCTCTTTTTACAATGAGAGAACAAATCCTTTGTGCTTTTTCCTTTGGGAAATCTTAAAGACAGTCTTGGGTGCAAAAGGTATTATTTAGGATCAATTTGGGGTAAGACAAAATATCAAAAGTTGTCAGGATATTTGAACACCTGAATAAGGTAGGATCATGAGTTCCTGAGAAACAATACTTGGTACTTACTTAAAGTGACAAGAAAGGATTTTAAAAATAAGCATAGGAGGTAACGTGATTGTAAAGAATCTTAGCTCTTTCCTAAGTAAGAAAACTTCGTTCTCTTAAAGAATCAGGGACATAATAAAGTCAGCATAAACCATAAAAAGTTATTCTGGCAAAACACAGAACCTTTGTTACCTTGGCAAACCACACAGAAGGTACAGAATAACCTTTTACAGCTTCATATTCATTTCTGATTGCTGCTCTAACAAATTTGGGAGCTTGAAACAACACAGATTTATTATCTTATAGTTCTAGAGATCGGAAGTCCAAAGTCAGTCTCACTGGGTTAAAGTTAAGATGTCAGCAAAGCTGGTTCCTTCTGGAAGCTTCAGGAGAGCATCCATTTCCCTGCTTTGTCCAGCATCTACAGGCCCTTTTCATTCCTGGCTCATGGCCCCTTCCCCAATCTTCAAAGCCAGCAGTGAACTAGCTTTCAATCTCTTTCAGTGTCTGTTGTCATATCACCTTTTTCTTATTCTGACCCTCCTGCCTCCCTCCTATAAGGACCCTTGTGATTACACTGGGCCCACCAGATGTCCAGAATAATCTCCCCATCTCAAGGTCCTTAACTTAATCACCTCTGCAAAGTTCCTTTCACCATGTAAGGTGACATATTCACAGGTTCCAGAGATTGGGCCATAGCCATCTTTAGGGGGCCATTAGTCAATCTACCAAACCTCTCACGAAGGGCAGACCAATAATTTTCTCATTTTAACAGAGAGAAAAACAAATTCTAGTTTTGTGTCCGTATATTTGATACTAAAACTCTTTTTAAAAAATCTTATAAATAAATCCATAAAAAAAAATCCACCAAAACTTAGCCAGCTTTGACAAATAAAATCCCCTTTTCTAAACCTTCTATACCTTTCTATATCCATTCAGGTTGTAACCTACACGTTCCTCTTTCTCATTATGGAACAACCAGTCCGTTTACTTTAGGACAAAATTACTCTTTTTTTTTTCTTGACAAAACACATCCTGCATACCTCAACTCCCGGAAACATTCCCCTGATGTTACTGAGCCACCATCTTCCCGGACCTCCACCCTCTTCTGTCTTTGCTATTACAAAGTGGGAGCCCTCGTCCTTCTCCTATGCTCCCATGAAATCTCCTCCCTCCTTAGGGACCTCCAGGCATCTGTGATTCCCTTCTCTTTCTTGTATCTTCAACTTCTTTAACTGTTCCTTCCCACAAGCACTTAAACGTGCTCAAGTCTCCGCTGTCTCCCAGACCCTCTCTTGACCAGGCCTTCCTCTCCACTTCCCTGTCTTGAAAGTGCAACCTCTACTCATATTTTCCCTCTCCATAGCTCCTGTTCACACCTTAAACCCACTGCCATACGAGTGCCTCTTCACCCATCACTCCACTGGTACGGCTCTCTCCAAGGTCACCAAAATCCTCCTGTTGCCACATCCAGCCGATAACTTCCAACTTTGTATCACTTGATCCTACTGTAGCACTAGACTGCTGACTATTCTTTCTCTGGAAATGTGTCTGTGGGACATTATGCTCTCCTGGTTTTCCTCCTATCTTTTGACTTCTCCTAGATGGCATCCATCTAATGAATTAGCCCTATTAACCAACCAGTTGCCTATGTCAAAAGCCAGGTTTTCATCCTATATTCTATATTCTCCCCTACCACCTATAGCCTTCAAATCACCAATTACTGCCTTCTAGATATTTTTTTTTTTCCTAACTGTTTCACTTTTTTTCCATGCCCCCTAGTTCAGGCTCCATTTCTCTTGCCAGAATGAAAATAGCCTCCCACTGGCCTCACTACCTCTAATGTGGCCTTCTTCCCACCCACAGTGTGTGCAGGATCAGAGTGATGTTTATAAATCTAAAGTACAGATCTGAGCTTGTCACTCCATGGCTTAAAGTTTCAATGTTCATTCCACCCAACCTATCCCCATTGCCTTCATGTTGAAATCCAGTCTCCTTAACATGGATGATATGGATCTTCAAATATTAGAGCTTTGTTTATCCTTCAACCTTATCTAGTGCCAATTTCCCTCCGTGTTCCTGCCATTTGCGACAACATGGATGGACCTTGAGGGTATTCAGGTATTCTACTAAGTGAAATAAGTCAGACGGAGAAAGACAAATACTGCATGTTCTCATTTATATATGCAGAATCTAAAAAAGATGAACTCACAGAAATAGAGAGTAGAATGATGGCTGCCAGGGGCTGCAGGTGGGGGAAATGGAGAGATGTTCATACTATATCTAATGTAAATATAATATGTATAATGTGCATATATCACATATGTAATGCTCATAGAGATGTACATATCTAATGTACAGCGTGGTGACTATAATTAGCAGAGAGTAGATCTTAAATGTTATCACCACACACATACACACAAAATCATAATTATGTGAGGGGGTGAAGATCTGAACTAACCTTATTATGGTAGTCCTTTTGCAATACATACATGATTCTAATCACCATATTGTACACCTTAAACTTACATATGTTGTATGTCAATAATACTTCAGAAGTCGGGGAAAAAAAAGAAATAACAAATTAAAAAAATAAAATTCGCCTCCACAAGCTCTAAGCTGTATATACTGTATGTTCACTGTGCTTTCCTGCGTTGGGTGCTATTCACATGATTTTCTTTGAGCATTTACCCCCATTTTCAACTGGCTAAATCTTATTTATACTTCAAGTCTCACTCTTCTGTAATTGCTGTTTTTTTGTGTGCCTTTCCTGGACCACAGGATCACTGAATGCAGGGGCCATGTATTGGCCCAGTGTCTCATTCCCACGGCTTGTGCCCAGTAATTATGTGCTCTCAATATGTATTTGTTGAATAAACAAAGTTTCAATGAGATTCAGAGCAGGTTATGTGGGTATGAGGGTGTGGGAAGGGTGAATGGGTGGAAAGAGCAGTTAAACAGGAGAGTTACAGAGTTCAGGCTTCAAAGGTAGAATCTTGGTGACTGCAGAGACCAGGATGGCGCTAACCAGGTGGTTGGTGAGTAGAGTGGAAGTGAAGGTCACTGGGGCAGAGAGTATGAGGGAACCATGACCTAATATATCAGATGAGTGGCACTTATGTTGCCCTGGAGAAGTCAGGCACAGGGTGGGGTGGGGAGGGAAGCTGTGAGTCAGGCTTCAAAGTCCTTTCACGAGTGGTGTGATTAAGGCAGGGAGGTGCCTTTTTCGATGGCCCAGCTTCAGCAGAAGACAGGAAGGGAAATGAACGTGATGGAAGAATTAACACAGGACCAATATGGACTCCAGGAGAATGATGACCCTCCTGTGTGACTCTGAGGTCTGTGGACATAGCATGGGAGACTGAGGGGCCCCTGTAGAGAGGGCTTCAAGGTGAAGAGGTCAAGGAATTTCCAAGAAAGAGGTCATGCCTCATATACTATAAAGTATAGAGTATATTATATAATACATATATATTATATTAATAGAAAGGGCTTGGAGTCCAGTAGAAGGATTGAAAAGGTATCTCCCCAAGGGCAAATTCAAATGCTCAGATGGTCAAGTGCTCAGATGATGCTGCTTCTTTCACTTTGGCTTCAGAATTTGTTACAAACTCCTTTTTCCAGAAACTTCTGCCATCTTGCTACTATAATTCTCAGCTGCAGTGGACTTATCCCAGTTAAAAGATTAATCTGGAATCCTGCTCTGACCCTTAAATCAAAGGAATCCAAACCTTGCGTGTGGGATTATCCACCCCCGTGCATTCTTTTATTCTGTGGGAAATCGGGTCCCTACTTGTTTTTGTGGAATGTCAGCACAATAAAGGCCACCTTTTGGGGGACTGCGGTTAAAAAGAAAACTCTTAAAAAAAAAAATGCAGTGGGAGTAAACTCCTCATTGAACAAAGTTTCAAAATTAGATAAAACTTGCGGTCTGCTCACTGAAGAGGGCGAGGCGCCTCCCTTCCCTGGTAACTAGAGAGAAGCAGAGACAGCCTCAGGAACCAGCTTGCTCAGGGCTTGCCATCAGTTGATTTCTCTCTGAGCCTAGACAGCTATAGTTTTTCTAATAGCTTCTAATATGTTTGAGATCAATTGTCCTTGGTTGGAATGAACTTTACCTGTAATGTGTTATTATTTTACTTATATTTCATACTTTTTATTTAGGTTTTTCATATATATATTCACTGGCAAGATTATATATATTCACTGGCAAGAGTCACTGGTTTTCTCTGTGTGTGTGTTGCATTTATTGAGGTTTTGGTATCAAGGCTATAACCAGAATAAGAATAATCGTGCCCCATCCCACCGCCAACTTGTTAGAAATGGCGAATCACAGGCCCCACCCTCGACCAAGGGAATCAATACCTGCATTTCATCAAGATCCCCTGGTAATGCACGTGGACATTAGTTTGAGAAGCTGTCCCAGGCCTTGGCATTTACCAGAAACTGCTTCTTCCATAGTCTCACGGTAAGCGACCTGGCTCTCCTCCTTTCCAGCACCTCCTCCTTTCCACACCTCCTCCTTTCCAGCTCACTTGGCCTACGGTGCTCATTACACCATCCTTTCACCCATCGTTCCTTAGATCCTGCTGCCACTTCCACAGAGTCTCTGCCCTCCCCTGGCTCCCACCTCCTCCCCCATTTCCTCATTCCTTCCTATCCAGCTCGGAGGCAACAGTCAGCAATTATTATTATTACTTCCTTGTATACACTCTCCCCTTCCTTTCCCCTTTTTCTCTCCATGGAATTATCTAACAAAAATAACCCCGGCTGAATCCAAGTCTCCACCATCCTGTGCTGGCACCATCCCAGCAAATTGTGGCCTCTGAAAAACAGACTAATCCCGCTGACTGGCCCTTCTGTACACCCTCCCCTCTCCCCTCCAGCTTCCAACACCTCCACCTTGTCCACGCTCTAAGCTGATGACCTTGCTTGCTTCCTAGTTCCCTGAGAAAAGAGAAGTCCTCAAAGGAAACGTCCACACGTTCTGCCACCTCATCCCCAGGGCTGCCTGTCCTCCGTTACTGTGAGGGAACGCTTGCCTTGCTGGTCTCCAAGGCCAGACCCGCCACTGTGCACTGCAACCTTCTCTACTTGCTCACTCAAGGATAACTCTCCAGAAAATGCTGCCCCACCCCAGTCATCATCAAATTTTCCCTCACTACTGAATCATTCCTGTCAACACGGAAGCTGGCTCTAACAGCTCCCATCCTCAAAACAAAACAAAATGAAATAAAACAAAAAATCTGTTTTGACTTCACTCTCCCTTCTGGCTGCTGCCCCATTTTTCTGCTCTCCTTTAGAACAAAGCTTCATGAAAAAATTGTCTGCACCCATGGTCTCTCATTCTAGAGCCCAATTCTCTCTACAGAGGTCTTTCTAGGTCTTATTCTTTCTAGAGACCACTCCTGTCAGGCTTTCCCACCCACTTCTGCTGAAACAGCTCTTCCCAAGGCCACTAGTTACCTCTGTGGCACTGACACCAGTGACCAATCACCACTACTAATCTTACTTGAACTATTAGCCACATTCAGAGCCATGGATCCATCCTCCATCCCTGATCTTCCAGCATGTGAACCTCTCCTGGGTCTCCTCCTGCCATGCTGGCTCCTCTCAGCATCCTTTGCTGGTTCCTTGTCATCTCCCTGACCTCTCAATGTTGGGGCCCAGGCTCACCCTTGGCCTTGTCTTTTATTAACCCTCTCTCCCTAAAGGATCTCCCTGAGTACTGTATTGAGATTTTACTTACTCTGAGGACTCCCCCAATTCTATCTCCAGCGCAGACCTCTCCCCCAAACCCCAGACTTCTACATCAAGCTCCCTCCTTGGGTGTCTCACAGGCAGCTCAACTTAATATGCCCCCAAATGTATTTCCAAGTTCCTCCCTTCATATCTGTTTCTGTTTAAGTCTTCCCCATTTCCCCAAATTGTATCTTCCAGTTGCTTGAGAAAACAAAAGACAAAAAAACACACACACAAAAACTTAGAAATCAGCAAAATCAGGCTTCCCTGGTGGCGCAGTGGTTAGGAATCTGCCTGCCAATGCAGGGGACACGGGTTCGAACCCTGGTCTGGGAAGATCCCACATGCTGTGGAGCAACTAAGCCCGTGTGCCGCTACTACTGAGCCCACTGAAGTAGTAGTGCCTACTGAAGCCCACGTGCCTAGAGCCTGTGCTCTGCAGCAAAAGCCACCACAATAAGAAGCCCGTGCACCACAACAAAGAGTAGCCCCTGCTCGCCGCAACTAGAGAAAGCCCGTGCGCAGCAATGAAGACCCAATGCAGCCAAAAATAAATAAACAAAAAAAATTTTTAAATGAATAAAATCTATCTTAAAAAAAAAAAAGAATTCAGCAAAGTCATGTCAGCTCTCCCTTTTAAATGTGTCTAGAACACGACTACTTCTTTAGTCTTCCACTGGGATGAGTCTGTCTTCTTGTCACTGGACTATTTCCAAAGCCTTCCAACTGGTCTGGATGAAACTCTCCAGGCCCTTCAGGCTGGGCTTCACACCACAACCAGAGTAATTCTTTTGAAATGTCAGACCACATCCTTTCTCTGCTCAAAACCCTCCAAATATCTCCCGCTCTCATTCAGAGTAAAAACCGAAGTCCTCACTTTGGTCTATATGGCCTCCCTCTCTTCTTATCTCTCCTCTCTCACCTCAGGGCTCTTGCCTTGCTGGGCTCCAAGGCATCCCCACCTCAGGGCCTTGGTCCTTGCTGTTCCTTCTGCTTTTCCATACTCATAGCTCACAGCAGGCTCTTTCTTCAAGTAGCTTGCCCCCTGCGGGAGCGCTAGAAATAACAATACCCTGCACTCCCTCGCCTCCTTAGCCTGTGTGCTTTTTCTCCATAGTACTAAAAACCATCTGATATCATATATATGTTGGTTTATTTGTTTGTTGTTTGTCTCAGGAGCAGGTAATGTTTCGTTCAGTGCTCCACCACCTAGAACAGTGCTTGGCACACAACAGATACTCAAAAATAGCTGTTCAGTTACAAATTAAAAGCAAAGCAACAGAAAGAAATGAAAATATACATGTATGGCATTTTTATGTACCAGAGTCTGTTGTCAGAGCTTTGCGATGCATGATCTCGTTCAACCTCATAAGCCTATGGTACTATGCTATTATACTTCTGTGTGAGTGTATGTGAAGGAACGTAGGAATAGGGACAGGAAATAGCCCATAGAGACTAAATGGTGGAGTTGAGATTTAAATCCAGGCTGTTGAATCCTATTAATATGGGTCATTCGATCACTTTCTACACTCTCTCTCAGAGGATGCTAAAATGAGAGTTACCTGTCCCTCGAAAGTAGGAAGGAATGAGTCTGCACAAGTCAGCCCCCGGCCTTTAGCAGAAATAGAGCTTTGTTAAGAGTTCAGGAAGTGGTCGTAGACAGTGGACGTAGGATTCCTTCGGTTAGAGTTCTTAGACTGACGAGACCGGGCTGAGCACCAACATCTAAGCTGCAGGTGAAAGGAGAGGAACTCCCGTTCTCTGCTTCCGCTTTTCTCTGCTCCCCCTCCCGCTGCGGCTCGGCGCGGACTCCTACGCCCCGAGTCCGCCCGGCCGCCCGGGGGCGCCCGCGGCCGAAGGGGGCGTTGCGGCACCGCCCGACGTCGCGCCCTCGGCGGCTGCGCAGACGCACGTCAAAGCCGGGCTCGGGCCGGGAGCGGGGAGCGGCGCGGCCTGGGAGAGACTGAGACTTCGGGAGCCGGGCGAAGGCTGTGCGGGGCCCCGCAGCAGAGCCGCAGCCGGAGCAAGCGAGCGAGAGCAGCAGTGCGGCGGCCGCCGCGGGAGCCCCTGGGCCGCCGTCCGCTCGCGCAGCCGCCGCTGCTGCCGCGGGATCCTGTCACCGGGAGCAGGAGCGGGCGGAAGACAACGGAGGGGCCGAGCGCCCAAGCCGCGCCGCGGGGACCGAGCGAGCAGCCCGAGGCGGCGGCGGCCGAGGACGGAGACGGCGACGACGCGGAGGCGGAGAGGGAGCCGCCCGGCCCAGCCCCGTGAGTGACCCCCGGCCCGACCCTTTTCGAGGCGCGGACGCCAGCCCGGCTTCCGCCTCCCTGCCCCGGCCCGTCACCGGCCCCGGGGCTGCCTCCATTTTCTCGGGTGGCGGCGGCGGCCCCAGCCCGGGAGTCGGCGGGAGCGGCCCGGCCTCCTCGCGGAGCCTTACTCCCTCGTCCTCGCCGGCGCGGCGCCCACGGGCCTGCGGCCGGGTCTCCGGAGGCCCCGTGCTCTCCTGCCAGCTTTCCGCGGTTCTGTGGCGGGGCTGGCGGCGTGGGGGCGTCTGCGGCCGGAGCCGGGAGGACAGGGGAGTGCGGGCCCGGGTAACTGTCACTCCCACTGCGCAAGGGCTCCGGCCACCTCGCTTCTGGTCCCTGGTAAACTTCCTGTTACCAGGAGGCGGATAGCATCTCTGCGTTCTTCAGTTCGGGAAAATGCCTAACCGATTTCTGGTTAGGAATTGTGCGGTCAGAGCGTTCCCGAGTTCGGTTGAACCAGCCTGCGCGCTGAGTGCGTGCAGGCGCCCTGGTCGGTCCGCGCCAGAGGGATTCAAAGGGGAACCCGGGCCCGCGGTCCCCTCCCCCGAGGAGCTTACGCTCTGGTGCAGGAGATAAGGCGAGTACACAAATAACCACGATACCGGGAAGGAGATGATAAGTCCTGTGAAAGAACTACAGAATGCTAGAAAGGTACCCAGGGAAGACCGGACTGATCGATCACTTCCGCCTAGCAGAAATCTGGAAGGCTTCTTGGGCGAGGCGGTACAAAGCGGGTCTTGAAGGCCCGACGGGATTTGGGAGAGAGGAGGGTTGCAGAAGAGAACGGTATGTGGAGGAGCCGCAAAGCTAGAGGACAAAGGTAAAAAGGTATAGTCTAGAAATAGTAGATAGTGCAGTTTATTGCGTAGGGCCACAGTGGGGACTGGGGGTAGGCCAAAGAGTTGCTGGGGGGACAGATCGTTGAATGCTGTAGAGGAGCCGTTTGAGTGGCATTTTAAGGAAACTTAGAGCTGATTTCTCAGTGACTCATGGGCCCGGAAATGTAAGCTAGGGGATATTAAGGGCGCTCTTGTGAAAGAAAGGAGAGAAGGAGGCCCAGTAAAGAGGTGACATTCTGTGCCTTGAATATAATGCAGTTTGAGATCGATTTTGACAGCTTCCCGGATATTCAAATAAATCCACGTCCAGGCTAAGCAAAGGACCTTTTGCAAAAAACTTCTTTAGATATAAGGCTCTTAAGAAGTAATGGAAAGGTGTGTGTAAAATGAGGTGTTTCTGTTGGTGCAGTTCACTAAAATGCATCAAAACTTCTCGCACTGTGTATTAGGTGTCTACATTTTGGAACTACTGAACTGAACATAACTTAGTTCTTTGAGATGGTTTTTGTGTAAGACAGTCTAAACTGATGCTTTAAAAAATCAGATTGTCACTAATAGAAAGTTGGACATGGAACCTTTTCTTAGAAAGGTAAAAATTTCTTTATTAGTTTTTAGTTATGAAAATATTTATAGGAGAGCCAGAAATGAAAGTCTTTGGCTTTATTTTGTTCCTTTTTTCCAGATTACTAGCAAATAATTAACACCTTTATTCGAAGTCTAGAAGTATGGTCTATGGAAGCAGCTTAGAACCTGTGTTGGTTTTGTAAGGACATATCTGTTGTTTGTTTATATGACAAGTGAATGCCAACTTTTTTCAGTTAAAAAAAAAGACTTGTAAAATGCAGGAAGTACTGTAAAATTTTTAAAAATTATCTTATGTAATCTTACCACTTATGTTACTATTAACATTTTTGCATATGTCCTTTTCAGTCTTTTTATGTTTATTTTGTTCTTTACATAATGAAATAAGCTATGTATATATAGCTTTTCTTAGGCTTTTCATTTTTGTCATTGAATATCTTCATATAAAAATAGTTTTACTGAAGTGTAAGGGAAGTCTTTCTTCTTAAGTGTATTATTTTTTCTGACAAGATAGCCTTATTTACCTCAGATAAAATGCAGTAGTCATGCTTAATAACTGTTGCTGTGGACGGAAATTTTTCTAAGGGCTTCTTGTTTGAAGACTATTTTTTAACTTCTCTGTAAGATTTGGATCCTATTGCTTGTTGAATGAAGAAAGGTTTTATTACTTGGGATGTGTGTTGTCATCAGGTATGGAAGAGATCACACATTTCTGCTATATGAGTGGATGTACTTTTTTTTAAAAGGCACTATAAAAAGGTTACTTTCATAGCTGGTATAATATCTCCCATACACTGTGATGCACCTCCCCTTCCCACTCCACCCCATCTCCCCCCGCCCCTAAAAAATAGTCTTTATACTAAGGCCATCCATATAGGTTAACTACTTTTTGATCATAACATCACAAAGATTCAGGCTAGGTGTATTTCATTTTTCTGTCGGTATTTCTTTAGTAAAATACAGAATTTGTTGTGAAATAATTTGCTGCTGTAACAAAAGGGACTTTTTTTTTTTTCAAGGCAGATCACTTTAGTTCATTAGCAGGTTCTTGTTTAAACCAGTTTTTTCCCTCTGCTTTACAATCTAAACTGCATTAATGAGGTCTCTGTTTCTCTTTCTAATGGCATTTAAAGTGTGATGCTGAGTTAGACTATAAATTTTCATAAAGTTACTGTAAAAGAAGAGCTGAGAAAGCCCAGTTTAAGTATGGGGCTTGGTTTTATAATCTGGTCTTATTTTTATTTATTTATTTTAATCTTTTTGGCTGCGCCCCGAGAATGCAGGATCTCAGTTCCCCGACCAGGGATCGAACGAACCCATGCCCCCTACAGTGGAAGCGCAGAGTCTTAACCACTGGACCACCAGGGAAGTCCTAGTATGGTTTAATTTGAATCTTTATTTGTATATTGCAAATGTGTATACCACAAGGCATCCTTTATTACTTTTGAATATTTACTAATGTATTTTTCTTTTGATCAACTTTTGTAGGTTATAGATTTCTGTAATTACTGCCATATTTTACCAAGCGTCTTTTTTCCAAGAGGAGTTGTTCATTGATCATTCACAGTTGTGCCACCTGTCATAAAATACAGACACAAACCCAAATCCCACCCCCCTACCTCCACCCACCTCACCTTAGCAGGCAAATACAAAATCCAATATATACAGCAGGATTTCATCATTTCAGGTAGTGTCTTCTGGTTACCCTTCTGGTGGTGTCTCCATTTTAAACATCAATTTCCGTCTTCCATGGCTTCTTTTATTTAGAAATTTGATTTTATGGGTGTTGTCTGGTGTTAATAGAGGTGGATTAGTGTATATAATGGCAAAATGTTGGTAAAACTTTGTTGTGTGATGAAATTGTGGAAAAGAAGATCAAATCTTAGAACCTCTGTGTTAGGTTGCTTATGACTTGTTTTGTTATTTAATTATTGAGATATAAAGATCTTGTGTTTGTGTGAATGCAGATCAAGCCAAGTAGCCTAAACATTGCGTAACAGTTTGGTCATCGGTCTGTAATCTGTTTTCTATTGGAGAGAAGGCTAGTTTGGAGCCATCCTTAATTAAAGAAGGTATTGATCTATGGGACTTCTTACTTATGTGTCTCACCACTCAAATGACTATCCAACTGGACCCTAATCACTACCCTGTCAGTCCAGAGTATGAGGGCAGAGCACAGTGAGGCAAATATTTGTACCACCAGCATTTATAGAGTAGACTTGTCTGGGAGTAAACGCTAAATGTTTGTTCTGCTTCTGTTTCTTAGGCCTTCCAAGGATTCTGAAAAGAGTTATTGAAAGACTAGGTGGCAGATGATAGACTGTGGTGATGAAGTTAAGGTTAACAGCTTATTGCAGTCAGCATTTTGTGGGGGTGTGTGCACACGCATGTGTGTGCATGTGTATGTTGTCCTCCAATGTGATTTGTTTTCTACCCCACTGAGCTTCCCTGGCGCCACTGTGCTTTTAACTTTTCTCTTGAGATAGAAGGGGTGAGGGGATGGCAGAATTGTGGGTTTTTAGCAACTGTGATGTTAAGTTGGCAGAGGAAGGAAGAGTGGCATGCAGAGAATTGCAAGAAATCAGTCAGGTGTGAAGTAGCTCCAAAGGAGGGAGGTCAAGCCTGCCCTGGCCGTTTATGTTGGCAGTGTCTGGCACATACCTATTTGCATAACCCTTAGTACATTGTGTCTAATTTGATATTTCCATATTCAGAATACAGTGTTTAAGTTGTAGGTTTGTATGTGCTTCTTGATATGTATATATATATATTTTCCTGTGCATGGTTACAGAGGCAGAAAATCTAGTTAACCAATATTTAGTGGCATTATGGTTTTATATGATAATTATTCCTTAGGAGCATTATCCAGCAGATAAATTTTTATAACCAAGGAAGTATGATAATGTTAAAATATCACAACACTTTGATTATTTTAATAACATGTTTGAGAAACCAAATACACATTTTGTAGCTTGATCTTAAGTTGCTACTTTATAACTTTGTGAAATGAACTGTAGTTTTTTCTTTTACAGGGTACCCTTAACATGTTAGTCACTGTTCTCTCCCTCCACAGTAGATTATGTATCAGCTGTATTTGGACACAAGGAAGAAATAGCATTAACAGTTTTCTGTTTACATGTCTATAGTTTAAGGCCCACTCTGGGATTTATAGGATTCTGAGAGCCAGTATTACCTGTGGTTAAAAGCACAGATGCAACCAGACTCCTGGATTGTTGAACCCCTCAGCCCTCCTATGGGCTCTGTAACTTCAGGCAATTCCTTCACTTCTCTCTAGCTTAGATTCCTTGGATAGGAATGATACAGACCATCTGAGAAGATTGTACGGGGATTAAACGAGTTACTATGTCTAGAGTGCTTAGAACAGGGCCGATTCATACTGAGTTTTGTGATGGTGCTGATGCTACACTGTTTCAAGTAGAAGAGAGCTTTAGGAGCCCTGTAGTCCGAATGGTTCTTCCTGCACTTTGAGCTGTAACTGGTGGAGTTTTCTGCGAGGTGGAGTCACTTGCTTAGGGTTGTGCTGCTTATTAGTTGTAGGACTGATGTAGAGTCTGGTTCTTTGTTCTTTATCCAGTTTGCTTGAAAGAAAGTTAATTTTATACTTTATGCAGTAATGTCTTCTTTGAATTTTTTCACAAAAAATTTACAAAGATTGTATTCATATGTTAAATGTTTTATGGCACTTAATCCTTTTTTTAAAGGTGTTAATACACTAATGTTTATAATCATGATGTAGCTGAAAAGTTTTTTTTGGAAGGGGGGTAGTTGTATGAATATAAAGTTGTAATAGGTGAAGAATCAAGTGGTATTATCCCCCAGCATCATTACAGATGGAAGCCAAGGTGAGGGCATGTCCAAGGTCACACAGACATTGAACAGTTGAGCTAGGATTTGAACCCAGATCTG